TGTGTATATGTACCACAGCTTTTTAATCCATTCGTCTACTGATGGGCACTTGGGCTGTTTCCAGATCTTAGCGATTGTAAATAGTGCTGCTACAAAGATGGGGGTACATATATTCTTTCTGATTGGTGTTTCAGGCTTCTTAGGGTATATTCCTAGAAGTGGGATCACTGGGTCAAATGGGAGTTCAATTTTTAATTTTTTGAGGTGACACCATATTGTTTTCCATAGTGGCTGCACCAGTCTGCATTCCCACCAACAGTGTACTAGAGTCCCCTTTTCTCCACACCCTCGCCAACACTTGTTGTTTGATGATTTGTTGATGGCGGCCATTCTGACCGGTGTGAGGTGATACCTCATTGTTGTTTTGATTTGCATCTCTCTGATGATTAGTGATGATGAACATTTCTTCATATGTCTCTTAGCCATTTGTATGTCCTGTTTGGAGAGGTGTCTATTTAGTTCCTCTGCCCATTTTTTAATTGGATTCTTTGTCTTCCTTTTGTGGAGTTGTGTGAGCACTCTATATGTATTGGAAATTAACCCCTTATCTGATATATCATTGGCAATTATGCTCTCCCATACAGTGGGTAGCCTTTCCGTTTTGATGATTGTATCTTTCGCTGTGCAGAAGCTTTTGAGTTTGATGTAGTCCCATGTGTTCATTTTCTCCTTTGTTTCTATTGCCTTAGGTGATGTGTCAGTAAAAATTCTGCTGCGTATGATGTCTGAGATTTTGTTGCCCACAGTCTCCTCTAGGATTTTTATGGATTCATGGGTTACATTTAAGTCTTTTATCCATTTTGAGTTTATTTTGGTGTAGGGTGTAAGTTGATGGTCTAGTTTCATTTTTCGGCAAGTAGCTGTCCAATTTTCCCAGCACCATTATTAAAGAGGCTGTCCTTACTCCACTGTATGCTCTTGCCACCTTTGTCAAATATTAATTGAGCATATTGCCTAGGGTCCATTTCTGGGTTCTCTATTCTGTTCCACTGGTCTATATACCTGTTCTTGTGCCAGTACCAGGCTGTTTTGATTATGGTGGCTTTGTAGTATAACCTGAAATCTGGTATTGTGATCCCTCCAACTTTGTTCTTCCTTTTCAAGATTGCTGTGGCTATTCGAGGCCTTTTTTGGTTCCATATGAACTTTTGAAGTAATTGTTCTAATTCTTTGAAGTATGCCGTTGGTATTTTGATGGGGATTGCGTTGAATCTATAGATTGCTTTGGGTAATATGGACATTTTAATGATGTTAATTCTCCCAATCCATGAACAGGGTATGTTCTTCCACTTTTTTACATCTTGCTCTATTTCATTTTTCAAAGATCTGTAGTTTTCTGCGAATAGGTCCTTTATCTCTTTGGTTAAGTTTATTCCTAGGTATCTTAATTTTTTTGCCGCAATGGTAAATGGGATTGTTTGCCTAGTTTCTCTTTCTGTGAGTTCATCATTGGTGTATAAGAATGCCATCGATTTCTTGACGTTAATTTTGTATCCTGCTACTTTGCCAAATTCATTTATTAAGTCTAGTAAGCTTTTGGTGGAGTCTTTGGGATTTTCTATGTACAGTATCATGTCATCTGCAAATAATGACACTTTCACTTCCTCCTTTCCAATTTGGATCCCTTTTATTTTTTCTTCCTGTCTGATTGCTGTGGCTAAGACTTCCAGTACTATGTTAAATAGGAGTGGCGAAAGTGGGCATCCTTGCCTTGTTCCTGTTCTTAAGGGAAATGCTTTTAGTTTTTGCCCATTGAGTATGATGTTGGCTGTAGGTCTTTCATATATGGCCTTTATTATGTCTAGGTATGATCCCTCAATTCCCACACTGGTGAGCGTTTTTATCAGAAATGGATGCTGGATTTTGTCAAAGGCTTTTTCAGCATCTATTGATATGATCATGTGGTTTTTATTCTTCAATTTATTTATGTGGTGTATCACATTTATGGATTTGCGAATATTGTACCAGCCTTGCATCCCTGGGATGAATCCCACCTGGTCATGGTGGATAATTTTTCTGGTGTATTGCTGGATTCGATTTGCTAGTATTTTGTTCAGGATTTTGGCATCTATGTTCATCAGGGATATTGGCCTGTAGTTTTCTTTCTTTGTTGTGTCTTTTTCTGGTTTTGGAATTAAAGTTATGCTGGCTTCATAAAACGAGTTTGGCAGTCTTCCTTCTTCTTGAATTTTTTGAAATAGTTTGAGGAGAATGGGTATTAGTTCTTCTTTGAATGTTCGGTAAAACTCCCCTGTGAAGCCATCTGGGCCTGGGCTTTTGTTTGCTGGAAGAGTCTTGATTACATCTTCAATTTCCTCTGTTGTTATTGGTCTGTTCAAGTTTTCAATCTCTATCTGATCCAATTTTGGGAGGCTATGTGTTTCTAAAAATTTGTCCATTTCGCTTAGATTTTCGAATTTGTTGCCGTATAATTTTTCATAGTAGTTGTTAACGATCTTTTGTATTTCTGTAGGGTCAGTTGTTATCTCTCCTGTTTCATTTCTGATTTTATGTATTTGGGTTCTCTCTCTTTGTTTCTTGGTGAGTCTAGCTAAGGGTCCATCAATCTTGTTTATCTTTTCAAAAAACCAGCTCTTTGTTTTATTGATCCTCTGGATTGTTTTTTTGGTCTCTATGTCGTTTATTTCTGCTCTGATCCTTACTATTTCTTTTCTTCTGCTTGCTCTGGGGTTTTCTTTTTGTTTACTCTCTAGTTCTTTAAGTTGTGAGGTTAGGTAGTCTATTAGAGATTTTTCTTCTTTTTTGAGGTAGGCCTGTAGTGCTATAAACTTCCCTCTCAGAACTGCTTTTGCTGCATCCCATAGATTTTGTATTGTTGTGTCCTCATTTTCATTGGTTTCCAGGAAGTTTTTGATTTCTTCCTTGATTTCCTCGGTGACCCATTCATTGTTTAATAACATTCTATTTAGCTTCCATGTGTTAAAATGTCTTTGTATGTTCTTCTTGCAATTGATTTCTAGTTTCATACCATTGTGGTCTGAGAAGATGCTTGTTATAATTTCAATCTTCTTGAACTTGTAGAGACTTAGTTTGTGCCCTAACATGTGGTCTATCTTTGAGAATGTTCCATGTGCACTTGAGAAGAATGTGAATTCTGTAGTTTTGGGGTGTAGTTCTCTGTAGATATCTATTAAATCCATTTGGTCTAGTGCTTCATTTAGAGTCTCTGTTTCCTTGCTAATTTTTTGTCTAGAGGATCTATCCAGTGATGTGAGCGGGGTGTCTAAGTCCCCTGTTATGATTGTATTGCTATCGATTTCTCCTTTGAAGTCCTCCAGAAGATTTTTAATATATTTTGGTGCTCCTATATTGGGTGCATATATGTTTATCAAGGTTATATCTTCCTGTTGGATAGATCCTTTCAATATTATGTAGTGGGCTTCTTTGTCTCTAGTTATGGCCTTCAATCTGAAGTCTATTTTATCAGATATCAGTATTGCTACCCCAGCTTTTTTTTCTTTTCCATTTGCTTGAAAGATTTTTTTCCATCCCTTCACTTTCAATCTGTGTGAGTCTTTTGTTGTGAGGTGGGTTTCTTGTAAACAGCATATAGATGAGTCTTGCTTTCTTATCCAATCAGCTACTCTGTGTCTTTTTATGGGAGCATTCAGTCCATTTACATTTAAGGTGGTTATTGATATGTACTTATTTATTGCCATTTTTGTTTAGTGTGGTTCTATTTTTCTCCCCATTTCTCCTGGTAATTACAGCAGTCCTTTTAACATTTCTTGCAGTGCTGGTTTGGTGCTAATGTACTCCCTTAGCCTTATTTTGTCTGGGAAGCTCTTTATTTGACCTTCTATTTTGAACGATAGCCTTGCTGGGTAGAGTAGTCTTGGATTCAGATCCTTGTTTTTCATGACCTTGATTACTTCATGCCATTCCCTTCGAGCCTGTAATGTTTCTTGTGAGAAGTCAGCTGAGAGCCTTATGGGGGTTCCTTTGTAGGTAACCTGTTGCTTATCTCTTGCTGCTTTTAGGATTCTCTCTTTGTCTTGAATTTTTGGCAGTTTGATTACTATGTGTCTTGGTGTGGGCCTGTTTGGGTTCTTCTTACTTGGGGCTCTCTGAGCTTCTTGAACTTGAATGCCTTCTTCCTTCACCAAATTAGGGAAGTTTTCTGTCACTATTTCTTTGAATATATTCTCTAGCCCTCGCTTACTTTCTTCTTCTTCAGGGACTCCTATACAAAAGCCTTAGAACATACACATACGTGCGTGTGTGCGAGCATGCACACACACACACCCTTTATCTCACATCTAAGAACTGAAATGGAGGAAATAATACAACAAGTACAAAAAGATACAAGTAACAGGGATACTACTCACAACAAATCATGGGAAGGAAGCCAATGTTCAAGTCAATGATTAGTTAATACTAAATTATGGTACAACTGAGTACCTACTAAAAGCTAAGTTTCCAAAGAATATGTAAGACTATTAAAAAAATATTCACAGCACACGGGAGAAAAAGGATTAGCAAAAGAGAACAGCATACACACTCTGATCTCATGGGTAGGAGTGAGAAATACCCATAGGAACCTGGAAAAATATATACCAAAATATTAAGATCAATAGTTGCTGGGGGTATATTACAGGTAATTTTGACTTTTCTTTTACTATTTGATTTCTCCCAAGTTTTTTTTTTTTTAATATAATAAGCACGTACTGCTTTTTAAATGGGGGGAAAGTAATAAATGATATTGAGGGGGGAAAAAACCTCAGAAGACCCAAAAATCTAGTTATACATTTTCATTCTTCTAATTTTTAAACTACTAAGGGTCATGATACCTAAATCTATGTATAAAAAGAAAAAATGTGTAGGAAGGTATTTTAACATAGTAATAAAGTATTTATCAAATACAAAGGGGTAGAAATATTGCTTTATTGGAGAAGCTTACATCGAATTACTTTTATGTGTTTTAAAAAGTCCTAATGAACATCCAAGAAGAAAACATATACAGCTTCCACAGGAATAAAGACAAAAAAATGGGGTTGATGACTGCCCCAAATATTTCCTAAAAGAAAAAAATGTAATATTTAGTACTTCTTCTTTTGAGGCAGGGTAAGTGAACTGCACGTCAGACAAAATTTTCTTACTTTACAAGGAGGAAGGAATGTGATCCTGTTTTGATGCATATGAAACACAAAATACAAAATCCACTCTTCTGATCAAGATGAGGGGGAAAAAAATCATTCTTCAACAGTGCAATTCTCATGCAATGAAATCCAAAGGTCTGTTTCGATTCATGTACTGCATCATCAATCTAGGCGAGAAATCCAGGAGAAATCTATTTAAAATCTATAATTTGAGCCCTGGCCGGTGTGGCTCAGATGGTTTAGTGTACTCCCGTGATCCATAGTGTCGCCGGCTTGATTCTCTGTCGGAGCGGTTTCGGTCCCCAGTTGAGGTGCGTGAGGGAGGTGGCCGATCCATGTGTCTCTCCCACCTCGATGTTTCTCTGTCTCTGTCTCTGTCTCGGTCTCTGTCTCTCCCCCTCTCCCTTTCGCTCTCTCTGTACTTCCTTTTCTGAGACACATTTATGGCATAGGCATTTACATTGCCATCCAATCTTTTTCCCTTCATCATTTCTATTTCTTCCTCTGTTTTGCCCTCTGAGTCTTCCTCTGCAGTAATCTGTTGTTCTTCACTCTTTGTTTCCTTTGGTTCCTCATCTTTTCTTCCTTTCGGTTGAGAAGGGGAAGGAGATGTGGATCTCTGTCGTCTTGGGGATTTGGAGCGTTTTCTGTGTGGGGATTGCGAGCGGCTCCTTTTCTGATCTTTCTCCTGGGATTGACTCCTTTTCTCATCTTTCTCCTGGGATTGGCTCCTTTTCTCATCTTTCTCCTGGGATTGGCTCCTTTTCTCATCTTTCTCCTGGGATTGGCTCCTTTTCTCATCTTTCTCCTGGGACTGGCTCATTTTCTCATCTTTCTCCTGGGACTGGCTCATTTTCTCATCTTTCTCCTGGGGCTGAGAACTTTCTTGGTTCCCTTGTTCTCTCTCCCTGGAAGCGGACCGGGACCGCTTAGGTTCCATCAGTGGAGAGCGGCTGCGGCTGCGGCTGCGGCTGCGGCTACGGCTGCGACTGCGACTGCGATCCATTTCGAGGCCTCCTCTACCACCGCCTGGGGAACGACTGTCTCAATGCAATTTTAAAATATATATGGATGTGGTACATTTACACAGTAGATTACTATGCAGCTATAAAAAAGAAGGATCTCTTACCCTTTGAGACAACATGAAGAGACCTGGAGAGTATTATGCTAAGTGAAATAAGCCAGTCAGAGAAATACAAGTATCACATGATCTCAGTTATATGTGGAATATAATAAACAAAATAAACTGATGAACAAAATAGATTCAGAGACATGGAAGCAGGAAACAGACTGATGAACCTCAGAGGGAAGGTGGATGGGGCACAGGAAGAGATAAACCAAAGAACTTATATGCACAACCAATGGACACAGAAAATAGTGTGGTGAAAGCAGGGGTGGGGGCAGGAGCTGGGAGAAGGGGGTCAATGGGGGAAAAATGGGGACATCTATAATACTTTTCAACAATAAAGATAACATTTAAAAAATAATAAAATGCAAAGGAACTAGAAAAGCCAAAAGAAACTTTGAAAAAGAAAAAAATAAACTTTTATAGGACTTCAAAGTGTATTATAAAGTTACAGCAATCAAGGCAGTGTATTATTGGCATAAAGATAGACAAATATATCAATGAATCAAGATAGAGAGTCCAGAAATAGACCCACACATACATGGTGAATTGATTTTTGATAAAACTGCAAAGGCAATTCAGCAGAGAAAGGATAGTCTTCAAAAAATAGTGCTGGAATAATTGGACATCTATATGCTAAATAAATAAATAAATACATGTATTTGATCTGTGTCTCACACCAATATAAAAGTTAACTAAATGATTTTAGATCTAAATGTAAGCCCAAAACTTTAAAATATTCAGTGGAAAAATTAGGAGAAAAATCTTTGTGCACTTAGTTTAGGAAGAGGTTTCTTAGATACAACATAAAACACATAATGGAATATTAATATAGTCAATATCTTGAATTAATATATAAATAATAATGCTAAGCAAAGGAAGCCAGTAAAGAAAAGCATACATATTCTATATTTCCATTCACATAGCATTTTTGGAAATGAAAGTTAATCTATAGTGACAGAAAGCAGATTGGTTATTGCCCAAGGATGTGAGTGGTAAAGAAGTGTGAGTGAAAGTATTATAAAGGAGCATGAGGAAAACTTTAAGGGTGATGGATGTGTTCATTATCTTGATTGCGGTGATGATTTTATGGTTGTAAATATATGTTTAAACTTATCAAACTGCACAATTTAAATGTGTGCAGCTTACTATATGTTAACTATACCTCAGTAAAGCTGTTTTAAAAAACTAATAAGGTACTCAAAAGGACCCAAGAGACAATATGAACAGGCTTTCACTGGCCAAATAAGTGGTCATTTAAGTATCAATAATGATAATTGCAATAAATTAGATGCTGAAAATATTTAGAATTCCATGAGTTCATAATAATACTTTTCCCTCAAATCCCCCAAATAAAAACCCCCCACTGGTCACTTTTGGAGGATGCAAGGAAAATAGCTAATTATTTTAAAAATTGGTTAAAATAAAAGAGAGTTGTGTTGGAATCAATCATTTATCCTGCCTTTCCTAAATGAATTTAGGGCAACCATACAATTTAATGAAAGAATGTTTCTACTAAAAGAAAAGACAGATTTATAGGATCAACATTTGTAAGTCCCTATGAAGTAATGGATTGAGGCAAGAATATTATTAATAGATGCTAACATCACAGAAAGAGAAACAAGAAGACATTGCAGACATTCTATGCCTCATGATTAAAAACTAAAACATCACCAGATGAAATAATCTTGGAGAGAGAGAAATGGAATATGATCAAGTCTCTAGATCTAACTACCAATACTTTATATATTTATTTTTTTTAATTCCTCACCTGAGGAAATGTTTCCACTTTTTTCAGAGAGAGTGGAAGGGAGGGAAGAGGAGGAGAAGAGAGAAACATCTATGTGAGAGAGACACATCGATGGGTTGCCTCCTGCACAACTCCAAACCAGGGCTAGGAATCAAACCTCCAACTGAGGTACTTGACCTTGATCATGAATCGAACCCATGACTCTTCAGTCCACGGGCCAACACACTAACTGCTGAGCCAAACTGGCCAGGGCTAACTACTAATACTTTAAAATAATATTATAGTAAATGTACAGGGACAGAAACCAACAATCAAAACTGTGGGGAACTCTTACAACACAAATAATAAAGTTTCTTCAACAAAAGATTGCAGGGAGCAAAACAGAGATCTTGTGGAAACCAAGGGAGGGGGGAATCAGTGGGGGAAGAAGGAGAAACATCTGCAACAAAAATAAATTAATTAATTAAATAAAAAGAGAAAAGAAAAGAAATTTACCATTATCATTCAATTGCAATGTAGGGACTTTATCTGGCCACTCAAATATAAGAAAACAAACCATTTATTAAACAATGAGGAAATATGAATAATCATTGAATATTTGATTACATTATGGATGATTTTTAATTTTGCATTTTGTGTGATAATGAATTTTGGATGTCTTCATAACTAATTTTTAAGGGCTACATAATGAAATACAGATGAAATGAAATGATCTTTGGGATTTGTTTCAAAGTAATTGAGATTGGGGAGAAGTGGGATACATTAAACAAATTGTATGAATTGGTAAATTGGGAACTGAGCAATTGGTATGTGGGAAGAGTTTAATTGTACTATTCTATTGTGTATATGTTTTAAATTTTCTATAAAAAAGCATTTAGAAAAGAAATTTAAGTTTCCTAGTTGGTGAATGAATGGATTAAGGTATATGATTGGATTTGAGAGGTGAAAGAGAAAGAGGAGTCAACAGAGAGTAATAAGGAGGATGGTAATGCTATTTGCTGAGATGGAGAAGTACAGGATAGGACCAATTTGTGTGTGTGTTTTTGTGTGTGTGTGTGTGTGTGTATGTGTGTGTAAAGAATGAGTTTAGTTCTGGACACACTGAGTTTGAGGTATCTGTGAATAGCCAGGGAGACAGATATAAGCAGTTAGATATATGTGGAACTGGAGCTTGGAAGATATATTTGGACTGAAGCATAGAATTGTGTATGGACGACATTGTGCACAGGGAGAAGAAGTCCTAGGACAAGGGCCTAAGAAACACCCACATTAAAGACCTGAGCAGAGGGTGGAATTGGGGGGAAGAGGTCAAGGGGGCAAAAAAGACAGACATCTGTAATACATTCAACAATAAAGATAAGTTAAAAAAGTAAACAAATGAAAAATTATAACTTATAAAAAGAAAAAAGACCTGAGCAGAGGACATAGGACCCAAACTGTATGAATATAAAGCAGAATGGGACAAAGATTCGGCTCACTCTTTAGCTAGGGAGATTTAGGAAATTCCACATGCCTGGTACTAGCCCAGCTACAATATTTTTTAAATAGTCATATGCTTTTTCACTCACCCACCCCTAATACCTCTCTCTTTTGGTGACCACCAATTTGTTCTCTGTATCTATGAGTTTGTTTCTGTTTTGTTTGTTTGTTTATTTTGTTAATTAGATTTCACATATAAGTAAAATCATATGGTATTTGTCTTTCTCTATCTGACTTATTTCATTATCATAATAACCTCTAGATCCATTCATGTTTTCACAAGTGAAAAGATTTCATTCTTTTTGTGTCTGAGTAATATTCCTTTGTATATAAGGCGAAAAAGACAAAGATTACAAATTGTAAGTTATGAAATAGTGATAGGTGCACCCATTTCTGATAAACATGCTCAACAAAGTGGGAATAGTGGAATCATATCTCAAAAGAATAATGGCCATATGTGATAAAACCTACAGCCAACATCATACTCAACGGACAAAAAGTAAAAGCATTTCTCTGAAGTACAGGCCCAAGACAGAGATGTCTACTTTTGCCACTCTTATTCAACATAGTACTGGACAGGACATGGTACATAGAAAACCCTAAAAACTCCATAAAAAATCTACTAGATTTAATAAATGAATTTTTCAAAGTAGCAAGATAAAAATTTAACTTTCAGAAATTGATGGCATTTTTATACACCAATAATGAACACTCAGAAAAGAAAACTAAAAATTAATCAAGTTTACCACTGCAACAACAACAAAAAATTAAGATACCTAGGCATAAACTTAACCAAGGAGGTAAAAGACCTGTTCTTCGACACAGAGAATGGCAACCTAGTGAATGGAAGCTACACAGACGATCTCCCAGGACCAAACTGGAATTACACTAAAATAAAGACAACTGGTTGGGAAAAAGCAACAGAAAAGCAGCTTGAGAAGATCATATAACCAGAAACATTGAATCAAGCCTGGTAGGTCTGCAGAGGCACGAGAGGGGGACTGAGAGCCCACAGACAGCAGCAGTCTTAGCTCTGAGCAGTGCCCTCAGGGTTAAAATCCTCAGGCAGCACCACAGTACAGAGGGCCTAGACAGAACACTGAAATGGTTGCTGCAGCCACTCACCTTGGGCTCTGGTAGAGGGAGGATGGACTGGACTGGAACTGTGTGGGAACACTTGAAATTTGGAGGCCACTCAGAATTTTTGATGAGTTGCAGCCATGCAGGACACAGGAAGGAGGCCATCTTACTTCTTCCCGGAGCTCTGAGGAAAAGCAGCAGCCCCTTCCTAAGAGATTCAACCGCACTCAGCTGGGACATAGTAATGCAAATTGAGGCTCCATAACAAACAGCATCTGCTCACCCTCAGGAAATTCTCTTACTCTGAACACCAGAGGGAGGTTTTTATTCAACTGAGAACCAAAGGTTCTAAAAGTAACTGAGACTAATAGCCTCCAGGCAGAAATCTAGAAAATAATCAAACCTTTCTTGGGCTTGCCAATCTACCCAGGAAAGTAAGACTTGACAGTGGTATTTAACGTGGGTCCTCCCATGCTCATCCAAACCCAGTAGAGGGAGCCACAACAGCAGAACACCACCACCCGCAGGGAAAATTTGGCAGGCTCTAACATGCACTAAGATAGCCAAAATGGTGAAAAAAAAGAAACAAATCC